AATCTGATCAATCGTTCTATTATTATGTTATATAATTGATATACAAACTCACTTGTACACATGTCAAGCTTTCTTGCAAATAATTGATTTTTATAGTCATACATCATAGAAATTAATTGGAATAACTTTACGCAAAAATCATATCTAGATATTTTGAAATTATAAAATAAAGCTAATATAAACATAAATAGTTTTTAATAATAAAATGTATGCTTTTATAAAAAGTCTATTTTCAATTATTTAATTAAAACAATATATATAAATTATTCTTTTTTTTTATTTTTTTCTTCTCCCACAGAAAAAAATGACATTTTATATTTTTATTTTTCCCACTCTATCTGAGGAAAATTCGATAAAATTATTTGATAAAATTAAATCGTGATATTTATGAAGCAAACTTTATATGCAATAATATACCATATTTGCATTCACAATTGCTCTCTGCGGAATATTCAGTAATAAATCTTCACACCATACACATTCTATGCGAACTAAATGCTAATTAATTATCTTAATGCGTTTAGAAAAGCATTATGCAAGTTATCCCAATTCTCCTTCGTTCTGCGAGTAATATTATTCCTATATAGCTATTAGCTTTCGAAATTACGCATATAAAATGCGACGTACGTATATAAAATGTGATATCGTATAGTGATAGATCTGCTTGATTCCCGCGAAGCGCGAATAGGGTGAAGGAACTTTCCTCATTACAAGAATACTTTTAAAACGGTTCGCTTGATAAACGAATGAACTTTTGGCGTTCCTTATCAACCCGATACTATATCGAGCAAGAGTCGAAAGCGATCGTAGCAGGAGCGATAGAGCAGGGCGGCCTTTAATTTCCTTCCTACCTTCGTTGCTGGTGTGGCTTCGTTAATACTGGAAATGTTCTTATCGCTGCGAAACTTCGCTTCTTTCTTTTTTTTTTTTTTTTGTTAATCGAGCAAAGTTTTTATCCATAATGAAAATTTTTGTAACGCCCGCGCGGGATTCTGTAATTGTGGAACGTTCCCTTTTATTTTGCACGCGAGTCCCCATTAATCGTTCCATTAACTCCTTGTCCCATGCATTTGTGTTTAAACCCAGCTTCTGCGTCTCGCTGCAGCAAACTTGTATAGGAGTATCCACAGAATGTAGCAGCATAAATTACCGATTGCGGCAATTCCCTTGGTCGACAGACAAAGAATGCATGCGGTGCGGGTCGCTTAGAGAGAGCGCCCGGCAAACCGGGATATTTCCCAATTAAGCTCTCCCTACGAGCGAGTGGTGCATCTTAGCTCGTGTATACCGCGTGTGTTGATGCCATTACTTGCTCGCTACTACTGGTACAAAGTCTTTCTCCCGGGCCACAGCGATCCCCACGAGGCACGATTTAATAGCTTGCTCACGGGAATTCTCTGGGACTATCGGTTACCCAACACGCGTCTAATAAGACTGATGATGATCGAGTCAGGCGAAACAACGTAAGAGGAAATTAAGTACGTAGGTCCGACGCGAGTCAGACATATGCTACTCCAATTTGCATTTCGTTCCAAGTTCTAATTGGTTTTAATCCTTTGCGGCCCGCCTCGCGCTTCGTACGAAACTTTTAACCCTTTCCACTCGAAAGCCAAATAGACCCGCCGCCCACAAACTTCAACAGTTTCGCTCTAAGCCAGATATACTTTATGTGTTTAAGCTAAAAATAACTTCATTAGCATCTTATCTAGAAATCTCGGAAAACTTCTTTTTCTCTCTTTGTATATATTATATCGAATTTTACTGAATAAGTAAAATATTATCATGAAAATTATATAATAATGCACAGTGCAAACATTTTTCGTACAATTTGCTCATCAGTAGTTAGTTTTAAAATAGTTATTAAAAGAAAGAGAGAAATGATAATAATTGGAAATAATAAATCGATAAAGCAATCGATTATATTCTCGTTTATGCACTTAAATCTCTGATTTAATTTAACTTCGCAAACGAGAGAAAAAAGATAAAATATTTGAACTTAAGTATGCTAACTTTATTGACAAGAGTTTTACTGTGGCCTCAATCTTGTTTAAACTTTTTTTTATAGACGTAGAAGTTTTTTTTTTTTTAATTGATCGCACAAGTATCTCGAGAAATAAAAACGCTCTGTCTCTGCGGTGTAAGACGAAGAAATACCACTCGTCTTAACAATCCACGTGTGTCCGTACCTGGAGTTGGCTGAAACTGAACGACGAATGTCCAAGGGATTTGAGTGTCCTTGTCTTTCCCGACTGCTCGCAAAGACACCGCCAAGTTCTTGTAACTTCGTGCCGATTGCGGCAAACTCCACCACCCGATAACTTATACCAGTCAAAGGCCAGCAAATGCGCGCGCGCACACACATGCACATGTACATCGTACTCTCTCACCATATTGGATTCGCCATTATATGTCGGTGTGCCGACTAGATAGGCCCTCTTTTCAGAATTGGATCCAGGATTACAGCAAGTATCCTGGATTACTGGGTTTGGCAGTTACTAGAGATGTCATATCCTGGGGAATTGGTTTCGCTCGGGATATATTACGCGAAATCGGCCTAATTACGTTCTGTTTGGTCGCACTAAGACATTTATGATGAAGCTTCTCTATCTCGGATCAAGAGGTAAAAAATTATTAGTTTCGTGATGTGACGGATCTTCATCCGTCAGTTCGAAATACTGGAGATTGATAATCTTTGTTACATTTTATTTTTAGCAAACTCTGAAAGCGTGAAAGAATTTAAAACATTTTTAATATTCTTGACTTATTGAGTCTTATTAAAAGTTTTCCGTTTCTCACAATCAATCAAATTAAATATCTTTCTGCATTTTTAATATTTTCACTATTTTAAAGAGATATTTCAGAGATGCAGCTAATAAAGACATAGGTCTATACATAAATTCATAGCTAATTAATCAATATATTAATTAAGATTTTTAATTATAGCTCCGTTAGATACGACACATGGTTTAATATTGTGCGCATTTTAAGCAAAGTCCTTGTGACATTCGAGTTTTTGCATTAGTTTCATGTTCCGAGAGTTTCTACTCAACTACTGCATAAATCCTTTGTGGTTCCATGTCGAGGTTGACTCGACATATTGTTTTGCGGCGATCCTTTACATAGTTCTTCAAATACCCTTAGGTAAAGCATAATTGTAATCCGAAAACTACATTTCTGTAATACGAGAAACTGCATCAATGTAAATAAATTTATCTGATACTTATTAAGTTATATTTAGCTGCTTTTTAATCTACGCTATTTGATCAGATAAACAAAGAATAAAAAATTGATATGTATATACGTATGTAACATATTTAATTAATTGGTATTTTATTCGTTGAAATTCATCCGAACTGTGAAGTAATAAGATCCACGCGATTAAGAATACGTGCAGCGAATCGTTATGCAGCTCTCCAGATAATTCAAGTGGCAGCAATATTCTGGCATCTTGCTTTGAGTATTTACATTGGCATAAAATATCTACGGCTTTTAATTCAAACACGACAACTCGAATTTAGGATAGGAATTTCCTAATTGGAAGCGAGTTTTACTATAAAAGCTGCAGGTTGAAAAGGCGAAATAATATTTTCGTTATTTTTAGAGAAAATGTAATTATACGCTTATTTATATGTCCTTGTAACAAATGAGAAAAAGCATTTGAATGCTGTATGCTCGGTAATAATAATAATAATTGTTCACATTTAAAATGTGTATTTTTGACGCTCACATAATGATATTTTATAAAAATATATTTGATAAAAGTGGGAAAATGTAAAAAGGAATAAATTGATAATCACGAAATATATATGTGTTATGTGTGCGCGTGAAACGAAACGTAAAAGCAATGTCTGGTCATATGGCCAATTTGCTATAGGTTTCTAAATATAGCTACGATTCAGATAGGCGATAAAATATACGTAGTTTATTTATTCACGTGCATTATATATAGTGGCCAGCAAACGAGAAAAAATTGTTGTTAAAAATATATTGACAGAAAAACAATTAAAAAATTTTGAAACATGTTAAAAAAACAAATTTTTAAAAAGATATTCTGAACAGAAATTTTGAAGAGTATATTTGATATAAATATGAAATATTAAAAAAATTTTAATTAATAATAATTTTTTCATTCAATTCTCTAATTTAATTACTTTTAATATATGTACGTGCAGTTCAAACCTATGTAAATAATTAGACAAATGTTTTTTTTATTGTTCAAAAATGGAAATTGATAATATCGCTATGTGATTAAAATACCATGTGATGTAGCTACTAGCCAATATATTGAGCATAGTTTCGTGGTTAGCTCGCTGGGGAACGAAAATTAGCTTGAAATTAGGGTACTCTAATGGCCGTGATAATTGATATTCGATGCGTGTGTCGAGGCTTCGCTCTCATATAACACATACTGTTGTTTCCTATATATATTGTTAGCGTCAATGGCTTAATTCAATGACTGCTTTCAAGCCATATATATCATGCAAATACATAACTTTCATTATTTATCATTTGTTTCTACTTCTTGTAATCAAGGTTACTTAAATATAATAATTATAATTATATACATATACATATATATATATTTCTGCGAATTATAGATATTAGATATTTTTTGATATTTTATAAAATTACATAAGGTTTATAAGTTCTCTTTTTTTGCACTTATTTTTGACTCTTGTTGTGTACTTTGTTTATTTAGAAATCGACAATAACATTATGTAATATTACTCAAATGCAAGCAATCTTTTAGCTAAATTTTAAATTATTTATCCAAATATATATCTCACACAAGTATAAAGACACATGACATACAAATGGAATTTATACAATAATTTACTGCTTTATTACGATTATACGTTCTTTAATTTTATATTTATCCGATATTTTATGATGAGATAACATATAATAATATAAATATTTTCTTTTATGACTTATTATCAATTATTCCTTATAAAATGTTGACAAATGTTCTTATATTTCTCGTTCTTCTTTTGTTATAGATTACATGGGTGAGGAGAAGAGACAGGCAGTTGTTAACAGTTGGTACCAGCACGCATTCCATCGACAAGAGATTTTTCGTTAGGCACTCAAGCACCGATTGGCAGCTCTTGATACGTACCGTAACAGTGGACGATGCTGGCATCTACGAATGTCAGGTATTTCGACGCAAATCGGTTATTTCTCCTATAATACTTTTAATTTTTGTTTTATGCACGGCCGAAAGATGTGAAATTAAATGTTTTTCACTTTAGATTGATTAAAATAATATTTCGTTTTCAACTATATCTGGCAAATCAATTCCATAATAATATGTAGTTTCGTGACACTTCGTTAAAGGTTTCACATGTCGAAAATGTCAGTTGAAATGTCAAAGCGGTCGACTACAAGCCAATGCTTAAGGTCTGCGCCCTGATTAGCCACGTCTTTAACCACAATAGGGTTACATAAAGGATAATCAATGTAGCCTGTTCGACAATGAATAGAATTTCCAATATACCTATATTATAATATAGATTAATGGAAAATTGTTATAAAAACTGGCTATTATATTTACAAAAAATTGTAATAATCTTTCTTTTTAATATTTTAATATTAAAATATTTTTCATATTTCAATATTATATCATTAATATATTATACTGTACAATTTAATATTATTATCTCGTATTGTATAATTTATTAATTCTATACGAGAGATTGTTTCTAAATTATTTTAATTAAAAAGAAACACCATGTTTGCTTGTAATATTTTCTGTTCCGCAATATTCTAAACATTTAAAAAATAAATTTATTACATATGAAGAGAAAATATAACATATGGATGATTACTGTAATCACATCGGGAAATAAAATTACTGAAACATTTTATCTCTCCTTCGAACTGTCGTTCCCCCCTAATGTATCACGTTAAGTTAAAGGTGTTGTTATATCATGATCGCAGGTGACGTCGCATCCGGTGCAGCAAAACTTTGCTCGCCTGAAAATCACGGAGGCGTACTCGATAATACCAGGTGCACCTGATCTGCACGTGAAGCAAGGCTCGAGTCTCAGCTTGGAATGCCAACTTATGGCGGCCACGGAAAAGCCTCTTTACGTCTTCTGGTATCGTCAAGGCCGTATGATAAATTACGACGAGGAGCCCGGTGTCGACGTCAAGCTCACGCCAAGCGGCTCCATTTTGACGGTGAACAAAACGAAGCTTACGCACAACGGCAACTACACGTGCGCGCCTAGCAACGCCAAGGCGGCGTCTGTCATGGTCCACGTGATTGAAGGTGAGAGAAATGTAGCGTCATGCTGTGGAGTTCCGCTTAAATTTAATTCGAGACTTGATGTTATTGAAAACAATCTCTTTTCCTCTCTCTCTCTCTCTCTCTTTTAGCGACCAAGATTAATCCGAAATGTTATTTTGTAGAGATGAAATATTTTCCTGTATATAAACTACAATTTAATATTTTAATAAAATAATATATACACAAGAAAAATATCACATATCCTTTAATTATTAGTTTGGTAAAATAAATATTTATTTATTTTAATTAAATATTTTAATGAAAAATATCTTCTCTCAATATTGCTAAATAAAGCTTTTTTATAAATCTCGTATTAAATATGAATTAGAAATTGGAACACTGATAAATTAAGCCAAATCATTTTCTCTACATCTAATATTTGAGTAAATCGTGGCGGTGCACTTAAAACGATCGATCTGAAAGCAAATTCATCAGATCGCAAATAAGTCTGTCATAAACAGGATCTTACGATTCTGGGATATAATATGATAGTAATTGACTCGCTTCAGTTATGTCGGCAAAGATCGGTGCCGATCAGTGGTAGGAACTTCCGAAACTTGAATATTCATCAGAGTAAAAGCCGAACAATTAAACGGTTGTAGGAAGCTCATTACGATCGGATTTAGCGGCTCTCGTAGACGCATTCATTCCCTGGCGTAGCTCGGCCGCGATAACGACGAGAAGGGCGATTCAAAATTGTACGACCGCTTCACTAACGATGGAACTTTTACCCTCCGAGTTCGCCGCGAGGACGAAGTTCGAGACGCAATTTTTCGAAAGTACGGCGTAACTTTCTCTCGGGCCGGCCTTACCTATACTTTAACGCGCTTAGTAACTACGTAATAACGCGATAGTCTGCGAGACATTATCAAACTTATCTATTATTTTCTCTTTACAAGACGATACCTGATGATTTTATTTTAATTTCTTTTTTTCTTACGCTCGTTCTACGACGCCTTCGACATCGCCGGTCGTTGAAAGTTTCCCCGAGGCATTAATGTGTACATATATATGCCGTATCGAGTCTAAAGTTTTACTTATTCTGTTTTTATGAAAAATAAAGAGAATAATGTATGTCGAGCGCTAAATAAAATTCAGTAGATGAAAATTCTTCTTGTTACATAAATTCAAAGCTACTGCTATATGCGATTAATATTTGTGGGTTAAATATAAAATTTTGAAAACTTGCGTTATATAATGTAATACATATACAAAATTTTGTTATAAAACAAATGATTTATAATTCCAATTTTTCTTATTCTCATAAATGACGAGATAAAATAATTTTTTAAATAAAAAAACTATTTTTTAGATTATTTTAGATGTTAAAATATTACTGACTATTGATTTATGTTTTTGTGGCAATTTATTGAAAGGCACGACATAAAATTATAAAAAATTAACTTACTAGATTATTATTTAGTTGGAATTAATAGATTTGTTTAGAATTAAATTTTAGTATCAGTAGTAAAACTTGTTTTAACGGATTGTAAAATAATATAAATATAAAAAGAGACGGACGTCTTGGGAAAAATTCGACAAACATTTATCCAATGTTTGCCATGTCTCTATTGACGTGACAACTAGGAGAGCTTCACGAACGTGACCAGATTGTCAAGAGGTATTTTCTACAGGAAAAAGTGCGAGAAGCGTTCCATCTTATATCTCAACTAGAAACGTCGGACGGGCTGAGATAATTTAAAACATTGTTTCTCCTCTCACAAAGGGGAAGGTTTTTTTTATTATTATTATTCTATTTGAGGGAAACACACTATCTTGCTTTTCTCACAACGTAAATTCTCTCTACGATCTGATATGTATTCATACAGGGCGTCCCAAAATTAATATAGTAAACCTGTTAATGGTAGATCATTTGGAGATGATTTTTCCTCAGCGAAAATGTCGAGGGAGGCCATCATTTTTTTGCAAATTCCTAATTTTTGCCATCATGTATCCTCGTAATTAAACCTTAAATTAAAATTCTATTAAAGTAAACTCTATGAAATAAATAAAAAAATGTGATTTTGTTAATATTTTATTTCGACACGGCTTACTTTTATTTTCAATCGCTTATAATTATCGATGTCCCGACATGTCTTTTCGTTGAGGAAAAAGCGTCTCCAAATTATCGTAGGAATCTGCCATTAATAGGTCTACTAATTTTGCGGCGCCCTCTATACACACGCAAAGTAGAGAGCTAATGCAAAACGGAGCGTCCTGCACACATTTATTCATCGTTCATCTCCTGCCTCTTCATGATGAAAACGCAGCTTTCTGATCTCGTTCCAGAGGAGGAGAAGCCGGCGGCGATGCACGGCGGCGACAGGAGGAATCTCAGCCCGGCAATTTTGGCGAGCAACTTTCTAGTGTCCCTCCTAGCGGCCGTCAGTTGGAGGATACCGAGTTTCACGAACCTTTACCCGACGTGAATTACCGCCGTCCCTCCGGCGGCGGCGCTTTACTGTCCCTCTGCGACGAGGGTTCCACCGTCGAGGAAACGAGTTCCCGGGTCGTCCTGCCACGCGGCGACCTCAAGAAGAAGTTCCCGTTCGCGGGGTTACATGTGCGCAATGTGGTACCCACAAACTCGGCGATACCTCCTTACTCGGTTTACCTTGTAAAACGTGTGTTTTTTCTTGCGTATATTAAATAAACGCAGTTCGCGGCGGTGTTTCTTCGTTTTCCGACAGTGTCCCGTGTGAGCTCAAAAGGTTGTCAACGAGTCTGTTGGTTTGTTCAATGCACGAGAGAGAAACCCTCTCTCGATTCAAGCTCCCTCTTTCGTTTCTTTATCAACTTGGCCCGTTCTCGCGCGCGAGTGCCGCGTAAATGTGCTTGGCCGGACTTATAATCCGTTTTGGAATTGAGCTAGCGATTTACGTAGGGTATATTTTATTCTGACACACGCATACATACATATATACACAGACACACAATTTCTCGTGTAATCTCCGTCTCTCATTGCGTGCGGGTTTACAATCCAAGCTCCTGTCCACGCGACATTTCCATAATAAAGATGGCAAGTAAGATTTGCAGCATATGTAAATACGCGAATGCAATTTCTTCTGTTTTATAGATTTCTTCGAGATGACATCTTTGTATGAAACAACGATAATCGAAAGATCTCTCAACGCTTTAAGAAGTTGATCCTTTTGATTAACATACGTATATGTGTATTGTACGAGAATATATAACTTCGTATATAAATTTTATCGCGTACAATATATCCATATTTTTATTTCACAAGCAATAATATTCTGTTTTTGAAATCATTGTAAATTTGTCTACGGACAGCGTGAATCGCAATGAGAGACGAGAAGATTATCGAGCTATGGTACTAAGGTACTTTGTAAGGTACGCGTTTGGTGAAAAAAAAGTTCAGCGGAAAGGAAATATATATTGTCTCGGTTTACTTGGACAAGAAACTCGGTTTCTCGCAGGAAATACGTTTTCCCGATGAGAACCCTTCCGCTCGATATGCAACTCGTCGATAACTTTGAATGTGCGTGAGTCGGCGAGTCATGCATTTCTTCAGTATGTGCATTCTATACATAGACATACATATAATACATACACTTATATATTCGTTACGTACACAGAAATACATATATGTATACGGCGGGAAACTCGATTTATCGTTCTTCCATTAATTAATCGTTTCGTGTATACCATTCATATATTTTCGAATCCCCAAAGTGATTTGTATCGCTTATCGTTTGCCGCGTATTCATTAATTGCGCTGATTGTTTTCCGTTCGGGTACAAATATCCCCGAAAAACGGTTCGATCGAGTTTTCGTACCGTATACGATACGTTATTACATAACGTAGAAGTTGTTGCGGAAATCGTGTTTGTCGTGACCAGCACACACGCGGTATAATAATAATAATGGCGAATTGTGTTCTACGAATAAATCGTCTGCTATCAAGACCTTCTTTACTTCATAGGACGGTTCGATAAATATAAAAGAAAAAAATCTATTAAAATTTGTACTTAAAAAATAGACGACTAAGCACGGAAATTTGAATAAAAAAAATTCTATGTGAGATTAGTATATATATATATATAAATAGAAAAATACACACACACACACATATATATATATACATATACATATATATTTCGAACGAAAGAGCTGATTCCGCATTCAATGTAATTTCGTTGTCATCGGTAGCAGAGGATTTAAATAAAAATGTTTCTCCTCTCTCGAAAGTCGGATATATGCGCCACTTTTCGAAAAATCACGATGGTAAGACACAAGCAAGGATTTCTTGCGACAACTTGATTACGCGAGCCTGAAGTGGATGAGCGACGTTCTTTCCGCGCTGTAGAAAGCCTTATACCTCAATTCCCGTCGACTCTCACAGTGTCATTTGTGAAGAGGTTCTTCCCTCCGCGATCTCTCTCTCTCGAATGGGTATACATCGAGCACCAGCCTCGCAGTGTTTGTTCGTTCGCAGTGTACACCTATCTTTAAATAAATGATAAACGCAAACGTTCGAATGTTTGAACGTGAGGAAGGAGACTATCTCGCGATGGGTTTGCTCTCTCTTTCTCTCTGTTCGTTCGATCGTTCTTCTTTCGCTCGGTGTATACCTATGTATACTTTCGTACGTCTTCAAGATTGAAGAACGGTCCAAAACCTTTCGGATATACGGTGCGTCAAACGAGTGATCAAGTCTTCTTCGAGAAAAACGCGTAAACTACACACTTCTTTTCTCAATTTTCAAATCGGAATCTATTCGAATATATTCCAACGACATCACTCGACGCACACCTCTGTATACACGCGGCTCCATTTCATGATTAGTAAGTCTCCGTCTCTAATCGTTCTCTCATTTCGTTAGAACAGCGAAAACGTAACGTAAATAAGTTCAGAAGTTCTCTAAAAGGTGTCTACTGGAATGCTTGAGAAAAAAAATCTCTTCCAGACATCTCTTTTAGATACTTGTCGTATAGATATCGAGCACCAGGCTGTTTATGGATTGTAAAGTAATGAAGATAAAAAATAAAAAAAAAAAAAAATAAAAAAAAAAACAGAGAGATGGCAAGAGAATGAGAGTGTAAGAGGTTTTCGGAAGGATTCTCCTCCCGTTTGCACGACGGTTCGCGATGTTTCAGCGCGATCAACCCTGATTTTGTGACCCTTTCGTGCCCGACGGGAAGAGAAAACACGTGAGCGTCACGGTCTTTAAACCATACATCGAGTTTTATGCGCGGCACGCAGGCGATGCGGCCGCGGACACGCGCTCATCAACGTTATTTATCTGGATACGTGGAATCAATGTAAATATTAAACATTCTAATTACGCATTCAATAAAACATTAATCGTGACTATATATACGAACATGATGATTCTCATTTCCTGTCTCTCGAGAGAAATGTATATCCCCAATTGATTATTATTATTATTGTGAACAATTTCGAGAATTGTGTTATTCACATACAAATTATAATGTTTAACAAATATCGTGGAATCTTAAAAAATACATTTTTGTAATTAATAGTACGAGTTTTGAAAATGTTGAAATTCTATACACATGTATACATATATGTACACGTAAAATATAATATAATTAGTATTATTTATGAATTCTAAGTTTTAATGATTTCTTTTATTGAAATCTCATATATGATACCAAAAAGCTAAGTAATATTTGGAAAATAATTGAAGAGTTTAATCTTTATGTGAGGCTGTTAAATATATCTTTTATAATAATTCTTTCTATATGTTTCATAAGAAAATTTTATTGTATTTATAATAAGATAATTTTCTATATTTATGCGCATGTAAAGTCATACATCAACAAAAAACAAACATATACGTAATTATTTAAACATACAATAATTGGTCTATTGATAATTCTAACAATAACTTATTTTTGTACATTGCACATTTATTTTATAATTTATTAAATATATCTGGTGAAAAAAAATTTTACGGAGCAGAAAAAGTTATTGCGTTCATTTATAACCCATTGATTTTTCGACGATGTCAAAAGTTTTACGATACAGGTAAGATAAAATTGTAGTTTTATCGCATCCATACATTTTGACAGATTATTTAGCATTTCTTTCTATAAAAAATGGAAGCAATAACGGGAATACTACGTATATTTTTAACGTTTTGGCTCACATGCAACACATTACATATTACGACATATTGTGCATGAACACGTACGTTCGCGTGTTTGCTGTCTAATCATTTGAACGATATCTGTGTAAACGTAAACGCGTGTTTTTATTATATTTGTTGACTTGAGAACGTTTGATTTTATTATATGTATCTAAGTATCATTACCAACAAGAATTTGTTAATTAATTGTGTGTTATGACTGTTATGCTATTTTTAATATTTTTAATAATAATGAACGTAATTTACATGCTTTTAGAACAACGAGCAGTTAAAAGAATAAATTGTAAATTGAAGGATTTATATTTTATATAACTTTGAATATTTTTTAGAAATAATTATAGAATAGTAATATAAAATTATATATAACATTTAAAAAAGATTGTATCTTTTAAACATCTCTTTTTCGAAATTTATGTTTCATAATATATATTTTAAAAAAAAATTACTTTTATTTATGAATAAAACATGAATTCTATTCCTATAAAATGTTCTATAAAATATATTAGTTATTGAATTGCTTTAATAATACATTTTATTTTACAAAAGTGAGTTCTTCAAACAACTATACGACTAATATGAAATCTTTAACAATTTTATTCAGTAGTCATATTCATTGTTCGAATATAAATAGACAACGGAAAACGCATAATGCAAAATGAAGCAATTGCGACATCGATAAACTACATCTTTCAGAAATATTCTGTATTTTTATTTTATGTAATAATCGCAAATCCTATATATTTTGATCTCTCACTCGACTTATATCCGTCGTATCCACTCATTGAGCTTGACACGACAAAAGTTAGCAAGAGAAGGTTAAGATTAAAACGAAATAGGATTTGATCCACGTTCTTGATAAAAGGAAGGAAAAGGTGAGAAATATAAGGACAAGATAAAATCATCGACAAAATTTCACGTTAGTTGAATACAGAATCGTATACGACAAGTCAGTGTTCCATTAATGTAATAAGAAGTCAATTAGTTGACGACGACAGAGAGAGATAATGGAATCCCGCCACTGAGAAGAAATTACGAATATACTCAGAAAGCCCTTTTCTCAATTATATTAGTGTCAGCTAGAACGACCCGAGTGGTCTCGGCTGAAAATTAACGTAATAAAAACTTAATTTAAAAGAACGCTAATCAACTCGGAATATAATACGTTAGCACTTAAATAAGTTTTTTTTCTGAAAGTCAACATGGTAAGATTGCTTTCTTTATCTTCATAACTTTTTCTAATCTTGCTAAACATGCATCTTTTTTAATCTGCCATTTTTCAGATTTTACTCTGAGAGACATTATTAATAAATTTAAAAGAAAGAGAGATCAACACGTAAAAAACTAAATTATCAGATTTAGTTGAGAATTATACAATTTAAGTCGTAGTTACAAATTATTCGGATGTAAAATTGCTAAAAAAAATTGCATAAAAATATTTTATAGTATACATACGTAGTAAGAATATTTAGAAAAATAATATATTGCACGCAGCTGTTTATATT